GGTCTCGAACCCGCGGGCTCAGGCAATCCACTTACCTCAGCCTCCCAAAGCGCGGGATTACAGGCTGAGCCACCGAGCCTGGCTTCTTCTTACCTTTCTGAAGTCCAGACAACACAGCTCAAAGGCCCACGGCAAGGGCGGCGGGGCCGGGTTCTACCCGCTGGGGTTGGTGTCCACTGGAGGCTAACGTGGCCCCTTCCTCTGTGTCATTGCAGATCCTTCGTCCACCTACGTCCGGCAGCTGGAGTCCAAAATGAGGCTTCTGGAGGGTGACAAGTTCCTGGCACAGGTAGGTGGCAGCAGGCGGTGGCGGGACCGAGAGTGTGTCCATCCCCTGCCTTGTGGGGCTCCCTTCCCCTGGGCTCACAATCTCCCCCCTGTTCCCTACTCCCTCCCGAGTCACCTCCTAGAAAGCTGGGGTCACGGGTCTCATCCTGGCTCCCACATCTCCAGGGCTTCCCTCTGGCCCAGCCCTCAAACCCTGAGTGGTCCGGCACCCAAGAAGGTGGGCTGTTAACACAGTTGGTGAGGAATGGCCGCCTGTGCCCCTCTGGCAGACGGGCAAATCTGGGCAGGACAGGAGGGAGAGGCCAGCAGACACACATGAAAGCCTCCCTGGGGTCCTCACTCCTCCCTGCTGGGCCTGTCCCCCGCCCCAGACAGATGAGGCTGCACCTGCCATGCAGAGCAGGGTGGCAGGGCCACAGCAAGGGTGGCTGCAGGGTGCAGGGAGTCGGGAGAGGGTCTGCGCCTCTGGAGTGTAGAGAAGATGGTGACTGCCAGGATGAGGGGCTTCCCTGCTGCCCGTGGGGACGGGTCTAGGGCCTGGCGAGGGGAGGCCGTGGGCAGCCCTGCTTGCGGTTCCTGGGGGCCAGCCGGCTTGGCCAGCCCCTTATGCCCATCCCTGGCTTAATCTTAGCCTCCCCTGTCCCTCCTATCCCCTCTGGCCCATGAGTGGCCCGAGATGCCCAAAGCGTTTCTCTGGGAACCAACCCCAGGGATGGCTCAGCTGCCCGGCCCCGTTGCTAGGTGACCAGCCGGGCTTGGTGCCGACTGCTCCCTCGGGGGCCCGAGGCACCCTCTCTGCCCGCCGGTGGCTGCTGGGAGGCGGGAAGCCCAGCCCCCACTGTGGCCACCCCTCCACGCCCCTCCTCCGCCCATGTGCCATAGCCTGGCACTGCACCACAAGGCTGCCTTTTGTCCTTTTACACCCTGGGTTAAGGTGCGGGGTGGGGCTTTAGCCACAGACGTGCTGGCTCGGCGTGACAATGGCTGGGGGCTGGGGTCTCACCTGGCTGTGGGGGGGCTCCCTAGACCCAGATATTCCACATGGGCTGCAGGAGCTGCGGGTAGATGGTGCCAGGGGTCCCCTGGGGCTCCGGGGACCTCAGCCTCGGAGTAAGGTCCCATCAGAGAGTGCAGGGGGGGATTACTCCCTCCAGGGATGAGCCTCGGCTCTGCAGAGTGAAGGCCAGGACCGTGTCCTGGTGACCGGAGCCCGGGCCTCCGCGTCCGTGGCCTCACAGTCTGCCCCGTCTGCTGGGTCTTTTGTTCCCGTGAAGACGCCGGCTGAGAGCTGGATTCAGGACACTGTACGTAATTAACATGGGAAGTGCACACCACAGCCCACTCAGACACCAGCTCGTGGTCCTGTCGCCTCGAGGACAGGAGTGTTCCTTTGGCCCCTGCTTCCTGTCCTGGGCCACGCCGTCCCGTGGACAAAAGACATCTCAGCTCCTGACCGACCACGGATTTGCGGGAAGCGTGGCCCATGACGGCCGTGGGGTAGCAAGAGCTTTGCCTTCCTGGGGTGCTGTGGCCTCACCGGGGGCCCTTCTCACCTGTCCACGCCCGGCACCCACCTGTGCACAGGTACGGGTTGATGTGAGCCCATGGCCCTTTTCCTTCCCTTCCTTGGAGGGCAGCAGCAGTAGGGGTTCAAACCACATTCTCACTCCTCATCTGAGCCCGTGCCGGGGCCAGCCTGCTGAGCACAGACGGCAGACTCTTGACAGTTGGGGAGATGGTGGCCCTCACCGGGACCGGGCTTGCCAGCCATGGGCGGCTGGGCTGGGATTTAAGGACAGAACCAGCCTTTGCCCGCTCGTTGCTAGGTATGTCAAGACGGGAACCCAGAGATCATCCCATGCAGAGGTGTTCAAAGCGTTTTCATTTTTTTGGTAGGAACGTGCTTTCTCCCCAAGCGGAGCCTTGGAAAGCCTAGCTCTGGGGCAGCCGGCCCAGCTCACGTGTGTCTCTGTGGGTGTTGGGGGGACCCGGGTCTCATCCCTAGTTTCTTCTTCAGCGTGGTCTCTGCAGCAGGCGGGGGTCTTGCCCGGTGACGCTGGCTTTAGCGGCTCTTTCTTTCTCCAGGCCTCTGTCTGCTCATCTATAAAGTGGGCACCCACTCAGTCACCTACTGTGTGCATTCCCCAGGGAGGCAGGAAGGCCCAGCAAAGGCCTGTCTAGTCTCGCCCTTGTCCCCGCCTGACCTCCTTGTCCCAGCCAGTGACACGTGCACAGAGGCTGCTGGAGGACAGCGGCAGTGAAGAGAGCCCGCGGCAGGGCTCAGCCCACCATGGGAGCAGCGGTCCTGTTCCAAGGGGACACTGGGAGAATGGGGTTTACTCAGACTCCTTCCCACAGCTCCTGACCACCCGCAGGGGACTCGGTGCTTGCTCTGAGCTCTCTCGGTCCCTGGGTCGCCCATCTTTGCCTATAGACTGTCGTGACCCACCCATATGGCTCCTGGCCCCCACCCCTGCTGGACCATCTCAGGACAGGGTTGCAGGTCTGAGTGGTCACATCTGTGTCTGCAGTGCTCAGCACAGCTGAGCTGGGTGCACGTGCCTCGGGGAGCCTGTCGCTGAAACCCCCCATCCCCACGTCTCCAAGGCTAAGGAGGGAGGCTGCTTCCTGCTCAGAATAAGGAAGGTCTGCTTAACCCAGGCAGGACTGCTTCTGCAGGTAGTGAGGTACCATCTTGGGAGGTAATCAAGAGATAGCTGGATGGCTGGATGGCCATGTTTGGGAATCTTGAGTGAGATGCTGTCTTCAGCCTCATGGGCTGTGGCTTGTGGGATTTTTGTGATTATGGCATTGAAATCTTGTCAGTGAAATCAAATTGCGCAGAAACCCCCAGCGCCACACAAAGCAGGGCTCTTCCTGCTGGCGAGAAGCAGGAGAGAGGAATGTCATCCTCTGCAGCGCCATGTCCTAAGGTGGGGTGGCATTGGGGTTCGGGTGGGAGGGCTGAATGCCTCCCTGGACTCCCACCCCCACTGTCCCGCCCCCTCCCGTCACGGCCTCCGTTTAACTCCAAAATAGCTTTAATTAAAAATATGCCAGCATGTTCACAGACGAATTTACTGTATTGCAGTTCGTATTTTCTTTCTCATGTTGGCTTTAAAATTTCATCAACACAGCTGCTTCCTCCGCGATGATTCATCTCAAGACTCCGTGCGCGTTATTATTTTTCCTGTGGATTCTCTGTGCCCAGTCGGACCCGGGTGGGGGCGGCGGTAATTGACGCCGGGGCCTCTGGTTAACTCCCCTGCTGGACTGATAAATGAGGTCTCCATTGTGTGCCAAGAAGCCAGCGATACAAAAGAGCAAGCCGCCCTCCCAGCGTTTTCTCTCCTGGCCCAGAGGGCCGCCTGGGGTCCAGGCTGCTGATGTCCCTCAGCCCGCCCGAACTCCTCGCCCCTGTCCCGTCATGCACTGCAGGACTGCTGAAAGTGGTCTGGGCACAGATGGGGAAACTGACGCCTGAATCGAGGAGGATTTCCTGCCATGGATGCCGTACTCGTTTGCTAGGACTGCCCTAGCCGAGTGGCGTAGACTGGATGGCTTAAACAACAGAAATGTGTTTTCTTACAGTTCTGGGGGCTCTTTGTTTTTTTGTGGTAGAGAAGGGGGGGTCTTGCTATGTTGCCCAGGCTGGTCTCAAACTCCTGGGCTCAAACCGTCCTCCTGTCTTGGCCTCTCAGAGTACAGGCATGAGCCGCCCCTACCTGGCCAGTTCTGGAGGCTTGAAGTATAACATCAGGGTTGGTTTCTCCTGAGGCCTCGCCTCTCTTCTTGGCTTGTAGATGGCTGCTTTCTCCGTGTCTTTACGTGGTCTCCCTCTCTGCCTGTATGTGGCTGTGTCTGTGTCCGTGTGTATGTGTGTCCGTGTGTGTGTGTGTCTTAATTTCTCCATTTATTTTTCCATTTTTTCCACTCTGTCGTCCAGGCTGGAGTGCAGTGGCATGCTCACAGCCACTCCAGCCTCAACTTGCTGGGCTCAGCTAATCCTTCCGCCTCAGCCTTCCAAGTAGCTGGAACTACAGGCGTGTGCCACCATGCCCAGCTAATTTTTTTTTTTTTTTTGAGTTGAAGTCTCACTCTGTCGCCCAGACTGGAGTGCAGTGCCCGCTCCTGGCCACCACAGCCTCGACCTGCTGGGCTCTGGCGATCCTTCTGCCTCAGCCTTCTGAGTAGCTGGAATTAGAGGCAGGCACTACCATGCCCGGCTGATTTTTTTGATTTATTGTAGAGATGAGGTCTCATCGATTTGCCCAGGAGGGTCTTGAACCCACGGGTTCAGGCAATCCACTCACCTCAGCCTCCCAAAGCACGGGATTACAGGCTGAGCCACCGAGCCCAGGTTAATTTTTTGATTTATTGTAGAGATGAGGTCTCGCCTCATCTCTGGCCCAGGCTGGTCTCGAACCTGTGGGCTCAGGCAATCCTCTCACCTCGGCCTCCCAAAGTGCTGGGATTATAGGCGTGAACCATTGCGCCCGGCTTAATTTCTCCTTTTTATGAGTATGCCAGTCAGCTTGTATTAGGGCCCACCCTCATGCCCTCATTTGAACACGATTGCTTCTTTAAAAAACTCATTTCCAAGTAAGTCACATTCTGAGGTCCTGGGCTGAATTCAACAGAGGATTTCCTTGGGAACACGATTTGACCCATAACAGCGGTGTTCTTGGGTTGATGGTGTAAGAAGCTGGACACTGGGGGGACCCTAAGCTCAAATAACCTCTGCCTCAGACCTCACCTGCTGTGGCTTTAGGCAAAACCTTTGATCTCCTGGTACCTCAGTGTCCTCACCTGTCAGGCAGGGGCAGTGGAGATGCCCAAGACATCACGCCATGTGGCTTCTGGGAAACCCTCCTGGGTGGTGCCTTTTCCTGGTCCCCAGCGCCTGGGATTTTGCAAGGTCAGGCTCACTGTGTCCCCCCGGCCAGTGGCACAGGCCTGACCATCCCCAAATGAACCTCTGCTCTTTATGCATTGAGTTTC